GCACCAAGTAACGAAAACACTTGTAACTTCCCGGGGACCATTTCACGCACTGGGATTCAGGGTTGCCTTGGAGTTCCGCGCCAGCCGGGCTCGGCTGCCTAGTGCTCTCCTACCACCCTGCAGTCTTTCCAGAGTCGGGTCTGCCACACCGTCCCCTCTGTGTCTCTCCACCTGGCAGGCACTCCGGCCTCGCCCCCCTCCGTGCCTTTGTCGAACTGCACGCCAGCTCTGGGCCGCTGGGTTGGGACTATTCTCATCATTCTCTTCACCTCTCGCCTTGTGTTTTAATCTTCCATCCAAAACTTGCAGCGTGCTCTGTGCGATGCAGTCAAGAGTCAGGATTCTGGTCTTGAGTTCGAAACTTTTGCCACGTGTGAGCTGTGCGATGTTTGCCTAGCCAGTTCACCTATTTGCCTCTGTGTTTTCATCTGTAGAATGGGAATAAGGATAGCATTTACCATTCACTGGATAGGGTTCCAGTGAAGATTATTTAAATACACACCCACGTGTGTGTACAGTCTCATACCTCACTTTACTGCTGGGAACACAGTAAGCACCATGTAGTCGTAGGTATTGTCATTATGTATTGTTATTTTTATTGAGTATTGATTTTCAGGCCCTAAGGATACAAAGAGCTCTTTAAAGAGTCCACAGCCCAGTGGGAAGAGGCAGGTAAGGAAGATTCATTAAGATGTGTATTTCTAAGGGTTCTGAGAACACTGGAGGCAGCGTGAAGCTGGATCCCGAGAGAGGGCGGGGTTCCCCCCACGGGGCTCAGCAGGCTGCACCTCCGGAAAAGCCACACAACGCGGGCTGCTCAGGGCGAACGGTGGAAACTGTGGGAAGAGCACCGTGAGTCCAGAGAGCCAGATCCCAGGGTCAGCTCTTGCACATAGCACATGTGTGACCTTGGGCTCATTTCTGCACCGCTTGGGGCCTCAGTTTTCACTTCTGCAAAATGGGAGTAGTAACTCCTGCCCTTTCTAGTTTATACAATTTTTGACTCAACAATTGCATAATGCATATGCAAAACAAATGCAAATGCAAAAATTAATGCATAATGTGGGTAAAAAGCCTCAGAGGATTGTGAAGCTGTCCACAGTGTCAGGTCAGGGTCTCTTTTTTCTCATTATTCAAATGGTCAATAATGAAAAGAGGGCTGTTTGGGGTCTCTGAAGATTGAGTCATAGGTAATATCTGTCATGTATTAATTTAGAACCTAGATTCATCTTTTTTCTTAAAAGGCTTATACTTGTTTTAACTGTTCTACAAACTTTTTTATCAGCCAGACTACATTTCTTATAGAAATTTCTTTTCTCTGGCAGAAGTAACTCATTGTCATTGTCATCACTTCGATAAACACAGCTTTGAGAGCTTAACACGCCCCTGAGAATAGAACTGACATTTGCCAAGGGATCCTTTGGTCCACGAATCTCACCAACGTGTGCAGTTCTGTGAATGAGGGAAAGGACCTGGCTCTCGGATCTGGGGCGTCTGAACTGGCTCCTGCCAAGTGGCAGGGACAATTTTAGTGGCGCTGAGAGTCTGACTGCTGGTTCCGCCCACTCCCGCCTCCCTCCTCCCTCCTCCCTCCTGTCCTTGAGCACGCAGATGCCGCCTGCCTTCTGCTCTCTCCTCTAGCCGTGTCTTGCGTCTCCACGTCTCCTTGCGCCCGTTTTCCTCACTCCAGACTCTCCCCGAGGTTTTCTCTTTGTCCCCCACCCACGCCTTGTGCACAGTTATGTGCTGCTTGGTTTCCCCTCTAGACCTGTGCTCTCTCTTTCCTTATCTGTTGATGGGGCACAGGCTGGGGGGAGCGGGGTGACTTCACTCTTGTCTTGAATCCTCAAAATGCAGGGATAAGAATCTTCTCCCAACGTGATCGGCATCTTCACTTTCTTTTTCATTTTTTATTTCACCTACTTGCTGCGCCCATCCATTAAGCAGGCACCAGTCTCCACTCTGCCCCAGTCCACTCCACCCAGTCACCCATGACACTCAGGGTTAGCTTTCTAGAGCTCAGAGCTGCCACGGCACTTCCAGAATGCTCCAGTAACCCCGGATAAAACCCATATTCCTTAGCTTCACATTCAAGGTCATTGGTCACTCGGTCCCTTCTTACTGCCCCTACCTTGTCCATTTCCAGCTGCATGTGGAACATACACTTAATGCTGATCTCCGCTGGCACTGCTAGTGAATGAGTGAGGGAAAGAATGGGTGGCGAATGCCCCAGACGGGCAGCCGTGTGGTACAGTGAGAAGGGTATGGACCTTGGGTTAGGCCTACGCTCAGGTCTCTGGCACTTATTCACCTATTGAGTAATTAGCTTGCTTCGCCTCATTTTCTGTGCATATGAGAATAGTAACTCGTACACTTCCTCAGGGCCAGGGCCAGGGAGAGGTAAATAAGTATTCACCTTGGATGCAAAATTTAAGGGGGCACCAAAAAACCCCCCCAAACATTATTTTTTAACATAATATTTTTTAAGAATCAAAATTAATGCGAAAATCCATAAAGGACACAATTTTAAAATTTAAGGAAAACAGTATTCGACCCTGCACGTACACAACCCACCTCACTCCCTTCACCCTGCCCTTCCTGTGCGTGGGGTTCCCCTGGTGCGCACTCCACGCAGGGTGTGGACGGCACCGAGCCCAGGGCCCCAGCCTTCACTCTGACTCAGGCTCTTGGAGACCCTCGGGCCCTGAGTGGGGCCCACGGCCAGTGTTGGTCTGTGGACCACTGCTGGTCTGCAGTGAGACCTATTAAGTATAGAAGTTATGGGTATTTATATGTTTTCATTATAAGTGGCCAGAATGATTTTATGCCTGTTCAGTCCATTTACAAATGTGGGCCTTTATTTTGTATGTCCTCTTTTTTTATTTTGTCTTTTCTTTTTTAGCACTTTTTTTATTGTAGTTTACAAATGTTTTGGTGAACAGTGGTTTGGAAAAAATGTTATACAGCTGGCCCTTCCTCACAGGTGATTTCACATGCACTTATCTCAAGTTCGAGATGCTCAGAAGGCCTGTGGTTTTCTAGAATTGATTCATTTGTTCCTAACACGGAGGTGAATAAAACTGGGAGGAGGGGGTCCAGACAGTACTAACGCCATGGGCCCCAGGGATCTTTGCAGTCCGTGCAAATGGCGCCCCCTGGTGTTGTGAGCAGAGCAGCCCTCTGTGGTCCTGCCCAGCTCCCCGGGATCCACTCTGAATCCTCTCTCTGACCTCTCAGGTTGGATTTCATTTTCGCTTTTTGTTCACTGCTTGCTGCTGCATTTATCTGGACAATGTATCCACCCGTCTATCCATCCATTCATTCAGCAAATGCTTACGAGCCCCTACCATGGGTGGGGCAGACTCACGGATGCTGGGAATGAAGTTATAAAAGGAGCTTACGGTCTTGTAGTGAGGCCGAGGAACAGTCACACAGACAGATACATCAGTTGCGAACTGGCGAAGTAGCATTTTGTGAAAACAGAGTGCTCATACATCAGAGAGCAAGGCTGACTCACAGGGGCGTTCAGTGAGGCCCTCTCTGAGGACAGAAACCCTGGGGTGGCAAGGTCCTCACCAGGCAGGCAGCCAAGGAGAAACCGTTATAAACAGAAGGGATAAAACACATTAGGCCTGTCGGAGGGAAAGGGCCTGCTGTGCCCCAGGCCCCGAAAGGAGGGCAGCGAGATTAGACGCAGAGGGGGAGACCAGGTGCGCTGGGGGGTGGCGGCCACACGCTGCAGCGTCTGCAGGCCGTGGGGAGCTGTGCGCTCTCCACTCTCCATGCAGTGGGGTCTGTCCCAACGTTCAAACAGGTGCCCCGTCCTCGAATCGTGTGTCCCTGGGATGTCAGGGTGACCGACACAAGCCAGCTCAGCCTGCGAGGCCACCCGTGGAGGACGCCGTGTCCCTCTGGGCAGAGACCCCCCCGCCGCTGTCCCCTGTGCCTGCCTGCCACTCGTCCACTTATTTTTGTTCAGACACGGATCCTGGGGAAGCGTGTCCGGCAGGTGTCATCTGCCTGGGCTTCAAGGTTGGTCCTGGTTGGTCACGGGAAGTTGTGTGACCGAAGCTGAACTCCTCAGGTGACCTCCCTGAAGTCGTTCTCACTGGAAAGCTGCGGGCTGGACCCCAGCTGCGGGGTGGACCCCAGTGGCCTGTGAGCACATCGCCTGCCTGCAGAAGAAACTCCCAGTGTGAGCACAGGGAGCAGGCGGAGTCCCCAATGGGCAGGCCAATTTAGGGGTAGATGCTTGGAGAGCAGGGAAGAGGTAATGCCATCGAAGAGGCCGTCACATGCATACCTGAGCAGTAGCTCTGCTGGCAGAAATGACCTTCGTTCTGACCCCTGACTGCTTATAGCAGTCCAGTCTCACCGTCCTGGGGAACTCGGGTGGCCTGCTCGGGCTGGGCTGAGGGTGCTCATCAACGATGTGCCCTCCAGCATGACTTGCTCCCTCGGGCTCTTTGTCCAGGGCAGCGGGGACAGCCTTTTCAGACCAAGTCCAGGCAGCACCAAGACCTTTCAGTCTGTTCGTATCTGGAAGTGGGGACTCTGCCATTTTCAGGGTGTCCAACCTTTTGGCGTCTCTGGGCGGCACCGGAAGAAGAGTTGTCTTGGGCCACATGTTAAACACACTGCGACACGTCATCACAAAAAAATCTCACAATGTTTTAAGTAAATTTCCGATTTTGTGTTGGGCCGCTCTTGCAGCCATCCTCGGCTTCACGTGGCCCATGGACTGCAGGGTGGACACCCCTGCTGCACGCTCCTTGCTGTGTCCTGTTGTCGGCACAGAAACTCCTGCCCCCGGGGTCCTGCACAGGCCATGGCAAAGCCCGAGATGCCAGCGGCCCCCTGGACTTATGCACAGTGCTCTAGGGGTTAGAAAGCACTTTCATACTCATCCTTTAACCCTGACCCTGCCCTGTGAGAGAGGTGTCTTTTGGTGTTGCTGTTTCTTACCTAAGGAAACCGAGACTCGGAGAGGTTGGGTCAAGTGCTGTGTGGGCTGTTCCCTACACCAGGATCGCGGAAGAGAGTGTAGGACTCTGCAGGCAAGCAGCCTGTCACAGGCTAGGAAAGCCCACGGATGGGAGGCCTGGAAGGGTCTTATGTAGCCGTTGGTGCGGGTTCATTCAGCCTCTGTCAGTTGATTAGGGACCTGGGTCAAGTAACAAAGACATAGATTTTGGACTCAGACCTAAATTTAAGGCCTTACCTTGGAACACATTTGCTTTTTGATTTTAAGAAAGTCCCTTGTCTGGGTCATGGTTTCCTGTCTCCTGCATGGTTTAACAAGACGTCTTCCAGAGGCCCTTGAGGACCATCCTGCCCTGAGTCGCATCATCAGTCAAGGGCACAACCGGGTACTGATGCTCAAGTTTGCCCTGTGACACGACAGCATTGACCATGGGGCTGGAAGTTCCCCAGGTCCTGAATCTCGTTTGCCCGCTCGGCCAACTTCAGTGACGTGCCAACCCATTGTTAGAAAACACGAGGGATGAGGAAGGGAAATGGGAAATGACACAATGTGCCCTTGACCTCCGGCAGGTGTGGAGTCTGAGCCTAGGGGGAGTAGGGGAAGCAAAAGATAGGAACTGAGGCAGGGCGTCCACCCATCTTCCTCCTGGTGAGAAATTTACCTTCACTAATCCAGGACTAGAGTCTGTGTGTTCCCAGTATGAGACTATTCCAAGATCCTTAGTGTGCCTACCCATCCCCCCACCTTCACTCTTAGGTGCTCTCACTAAGGGGAAAGAGAAATCTGAGAGTCCCTTTGATGCCGCCGCCCTGGGGACCCACAGGAAGCAAAGGGCAGGAGGCTCTCCTGCTGTTCCTGCCAGGCAGCAGTACACAGCCAGCTGTCCCTGAGGGGAGCAGCCCTCACCGCTGATGCGAGCACAAACGCCCGGGCTGCGTCCCGCGGTGACAGCGGGAAAGGAGTCCTTGCGGTTCCGGAGGGCGAGTGGACTTCGCAGTTAATCAAGCGGCCGAGCAGGCTCCGTAGTTAATCATGTCAGATACTGTGGCGTCAGCTCTCCTCGAAACAAAAGAAGGGCAGAGGTCGCCAGTGGTACCAGGCAAAAGGAATGGCAGGTGGAGAAATGTTTCAGCTACGAGTTACCATTTAAAAAAGAAACGCAAACATATGCTGGTTGTGGTTTTACCGTGGGTCAAGGTTACTTGAAACGTGCGTGGCAGTTATTCTGGTGAGGCAGAACCCGGCAGCGTTGAAGACCCGGGTTCGCCCTGAGAGAGAGAGGTGCCCCCACTGTCAGATGCTTGAAACAGGCGTCAGCCTCCTTGACAAGTGGAGTGATTCTCACTTCTAGTCATGTGTCCCGCAGAATAAGAACACATGGGTGACTGTTAGGGGGATACGTGGGGTGGATTCAAGCCACTGGGTGGCAGGGAGTGGGTGATCACTCCAAGGCTTGGATGATCTCATAGTGTTTAAACTGTGCAGTGAGCATGGCCATATAAGGAGAGGAAGACTTGTGCCCCCACTGCCTGTGAGGGCAATTGCTCAGTTAACAAGTGCACAGTAATACGTACGCATGCTTTTTAAACCCAGGGCCTGCGAGGTATTAGGCGTTGTGCTAAGAGAGCCACATATCATTTGAGGCCTAGCACGTACAGGTTGAACGGGGTACAGAACCTGTCCCCCGAATGTTGGCCCCTGCACACAGTATCCTCAGCCACTGCTCTCTTTATTTTAGGGCACTTGCTGGTGAGTAGATGTTAAACCAAGAAGCCAACTCACACAGTAGTAGCAAGTGTTGTTACTGGGCCCTCTATATTTTGGCAATAATTTCAATGCTGTAACACAAATGTTCAATATAGGAAGTGTTTGGGCACCTCGTAGAGGTTTGAGGGCGTGTGAGAGGTTTCCTTCAGCTCCTAGCCACTTGTTGGAGATCTGTGCATTTGGGAGGGTCAGCCAAGTTCGTTATCATATTTGAAAATGTTTTGCCAGACGTGAGTCTTCAGGGGAGAGGAGATGGGCTTGCTGCTGGGCACGTGAGTAAAATTATCATTTAATCCTCACAATGACACAGTGAAACTCATGTTATCACTTATATTCTTGTAGAAAAGGAAACTAAAGCTCAGAATGATTTCCCAACTTAACAGAGGTCACGTAGCAAGTAGCAGAATCTACTTTTAAATACAGGTCTCCAGCCCTGGCTGGTGTGGCTCAGTGGATTGAGCGTCAGCCTGCAAACCAAAGGGTGGCCGGTTCAATTCCCAGTCAGGGCACATGCCTGGGTTTGCTGGCCAGGTCCCCAGTAGGGGGCGCATGAGAGGAAACAACACATTGATATTTCTCTCCCTTTCTCCCTCCCATCCCCTGTCTACAAAAAAATAAATAAATAAAATAAATAAATACAGGTCTTCATAATTCCAAAGTTTCCTAATCTAGAAAGTTTGGGGAAAGTCAGGGAAGGTGTTCAGCCCATGTTTCTAAAGCTTGCTCTGGGAAAAGCTGCAGCCCCTGTGAGACACGCATGGCCTAGGAAGGTGGGAAACACCGCTTAGCCCGCCCTGCTGTTGGAGGCCTCCAGTGCACATTTTCAGTACAGACCCTAAGAATCCCTGCTATGAAAACTGTTGGCGCTTAATCAGTGTTTTCCAAATGCATTTGACCCCTGAGCCTCCCTCCACCAGCCATTTGTCCTTGTTATCGCCATTCAGGGAACTGTTCTTTGTTTCCACGTACTAACAATATAATTAACATTCTTTGGACCTCAACTCGTAATTTGTGAAACCCCAGTGTTCTCAGGAGAGAAGCAGAGTCGTATCAGAGACAGGCAGCCTTCAACACTGTGTGTGTGTGTGTGTGTGTGTGTGTGTGTGTGTGTGTTCACGAGAGAAGCAGAGAGAGAAATAGCACACCCGAGAGCCGCAAGGTGCCTAATTGGGAAGAGGGAGCCGGTGACTGCAGGTAAACAAATCCCGTCCCTTCGCTTCCTGTCCCCACCAGGGAGCTCGAGGACCGCTCCGCCTTTCCTTCTTACCCTTCATTACATGAATACGGCAAACGGGGATTTCATGGGGAGTAGTTCTGTCAGAGATTAGCCTGTTCTGCTGGTATTGGGGGGGGGGGGGTGGCAGAGAGAAGGAAACGAAGGCAGAGACGTGAGCCTACTTCGTGGCGTGGACGGATGACGCTGGGGTCCGGGCTGTGACAGAGTGCACCGGCCTCTCTTAGGAGAGCTGGCAGGGTGGGTGGCGAGGACCCAGCTTCTCCGAGCTGTGGCACATATGCCCCTGACCTCCAGCCTCTGACCTCTCTAGGGGCAGAGAGAGGGGCTGACAGGAAAGTCTGAGGACGTCCTCTGAGGAACGGGCAGAGCTCGGTGTCCTCCCGGGCACACGTTCTTCCCCCGTCCTGTGTCTCAGCTGGACAAGGCCGGGCTGGACGGCATGCGCAGCTTCCAGCAGGTTAGTTAATGCTCAAACCAGACGTGACGATCTGACCATCTTCACAGAGGGGCCTCTAGACATTGGTCTTTGTGGGATTCCTCAGAGCCCTGCCTGGCCAGCGGCCCCGCGCAGGCCCTCGAGCTGTGTACTAAAACACTCACAGAGACGTGGAATGAGAGAACCTCCAAAGCGTTAGACACTGAGATGTAGGAACAACTCATTGTCAGGATTTGGAATGTCTTGTCATTACAAAAAAACCCACAGATGGAATTATTTTAAGAAATAAAGAAGCACCAGTTGTGACCTGACCTGGTCTAATGTCATGGACCAGTGTCATTGAGGCAACAATGGATGTTTTCTCCCTTCCACGTCCTCTCCTCAGCCTTAAGAACAAGGCCCTGTATCCCTGAGAGAGCAGGGAGTCATCCCCCAGGTCTTCGCCTCCCACCGGCTTTGTTAACTCTCAGCAGGACTACAAACCCTAGAACTCAACTAGGCGACGGAGCGCAGGGCTTGGGCAGCGTGCATTCTGGGAAGTTCCATCCTGTAAAGAAAACAGTGAAGCCCAAGGCCGAGGCAGGAAAAAGTTTGCAGAGCACAGCAGGTGGGCATGACCAGATGTCCTGTGCTGTGTGGACTCGGAGCAGGAGAGAGGGAGGGCAGGGGAGCAGCAGGAGGAGGACACCCTGGTTAAAAGCTCGCTCGGGACCGGCCACGGATCCAGGAGATGGGCTCGCGAACCCGCCCTTGGACTTCAGATTTGAGAAGTGGAAACAGAGCAGGAAAGGGGCTCCTTTCACCCTGTCTGAAAATAAACGTGAGGAACCACTAGATCTCACTTTTCTTTCCGGGCGGACAATAACAGGAAGAACACAGCATGGGGACTGGGAGAGGAAATGACCGTCAAGTAGGAAATTTGGCATATCATTGGAGAAAATAAGGAAAGGGAAGTGATCCATTCATGATCCCAAAGAAAACTTGGGGAAGTAGTTTGGTGCATTCGGCGTCGAGCAGAAGGACACGGTCAGCATGACACATGAGCAGCAGCCACGCAGAGGGGTCAGACTGAGGGTGAAAGGTCGGACTCAAAGGAGGTACTACGGAATTTCCAAGAGTCACAAAACACTGTAGCAGCACTGAAGTCCACACTGAACGGGGGTTGAACTGAGGGGTAAAAAACATGTCAGTACATGGAAGACAACTTTGTGCACTTTTCCCAGAGTGCAGATGCAAGAGAAAAAAGAGGAGAACGAGGCCAAGCAAAAAAGATGGTGCGCACTGAAGACGAACGCAGACGACCAACTTGCAAGTGACTATTATTTCAGAGTGGAACCCTGCAGAAAGTAGAAGCGACATAGAATGAGAAGGAGAACATTTTCTGCGGATTCCTCCAAATGTAAAGTCAAAGAAATGACACATACACCTACCCAGACATTTGCATAAAGGCAAACAAATAGGATAAAGATAAAAATCAATTATGATCTGAGGAAGAAAAATAGATTTTCTACAAAGAAACACACATTAATTTAGCTCAGTTTCTCATCTATAAACTTAAATGCCAGTAGACAATAAGGCAGTGCTTTTTTCTTTCTCAATGAAGAGTGTTTCAGACCCAAGAATTTTAGACTCGGTCTATTGTGAGAAGGCCATAGAAATACATTTTCTGACAAATGAAAGGTCACAAAATACACTAATCACATAGTTATCTTACCTGATAAAATTATTTGAAGATCCAGTCCAATTAACCAAGAAGTGAAGCAAACTGCAGAGTTCAAGAGCTCATGAATGGAGGGCCATAATATAAAAGGAGTGAGTTTGCGTGCAGGCGGGGCTGTGTAACAATTCTCCGTCAGAGCACACACCCGTCAGAGCGCAGCCTGGACAGGTGCACTGATGCAGATGTGCGTCTGCAGGTATATGGCTGTGGGCGTGGATATAGATACACGGAGATATCCACGTATACAATTACAGGCAAGGTTATATATTACATGAATATACGAATAACCTAATTACTACAGGTGATATAAAATGTCACACATCCTTACAAGCTGAGAATCAAAAACCCCATGCCTGTAAAACATGCAGAAATCAACTATATGTTCCCTCACACAGACAGCGTCAAACTTTCCAAAGAAACAATGGTGCAAGCCCCAGGGTTTGATCCCTGGCTCCCTCCAATCACACGAGACTTGAATAACAAAAGGTTAATCTGTGAAAGGATCAGTAAACAGAAAAGCAAAGGTTTCAAATGAACCGGGCTGAGCTTTTGGATTTGGTGTTTCGGCTAAAGGGCTACCTGTGGGCGACTCTTCAGCCTGAGGCATGGGTGGGTCGGTGATGAAGAGGGTGTCACATTACCCACCTAAGGGAAAGCCAGTGGTGAGATTTGGAGAAGATAGGAATGTTTTCTTAATAGCTCTTATTACCAAGTGGCGTGTCACCCTTCAGATCGAATTGCTTTTGTGAGAAATATAAAGAGGAAATCTGACTCCAAACTAGTCAAAAACTTCCTGTGGAGAATGAGAGAAGCAGAAAACGTTTGCCAGATGGAGAATGTGCTCAGTCCCCAGCCACCCATCTCAGAAAGATCCAGGGTGGGGCTCTTCACGACTGAGGGCGATAGCCTCGCCAAGTCCCATTCTCCGCCTCCCCCTGGTTCTGCCTTGAACAAACTCACCTGAAGTAGTCATTGTTCTTTGCTTAGGTTGAAAAACCAGTTCTCCAGGACTGTAGAGTCTGCAGGAGGTCTGGGCCCTGACCTCTGGCTCTTCTCTAAGTAAGCCCTTCACGGTGGAGCTGCCTGCAGTGGGGTTGCAGGCTGGGGTCCTGGCAGGGGCTCCCGGGGCCCCCTGGCTGTGCTCCACCGGTGGTTTGGGGTGACTCTGCTTCCTTCCTTGGCTTGGGTGTCCATCTGTGTCCTGTGTCCTGTGTCCTCCGTCCTGGGCAGCGGGCTGTCCCTCCCTGGAGCACGATGGTTCAGGTACCATCTTAGTGGTTTGCAGTCCTCCTGGGGCACAAAGGTGGAACTCCTTGCAGTCTCCTGGAGTCGGGGTGGGCCATACCTTCAGTTCTTGAAACAATAGCTTTTCACATGCATTAACTACTAAGGTTATTAACTGTCACCTAAAACTGAAATGTCCCAGCTCTTGAGTTCCCCCGTCAAACTCTGTGTCCCAGCTCTGCTTCCACAAAGAGGGCCAGGTTGCCAACACTTGTGTTCCTACATGACTAGAAGGGAGGAGGGGACTCAGGAATGTCTCAGTACCTTTCAGCCAGGAGTTGTTCACTGCCATTCCTGCTCCTTTCAACAGACCAAGAGGGTATGGCAGAGGGGTCTACGATTCTTTAGTTGTAAAGAAATATTTTATTTAGCATCGCTACTTTGTGCAGAGGTTGTGGATTCATTCTGCTTTGGTGCAAGCAGGAAAGGAGCAAGGAAAGACTGCTGCACATGGGAAAAGCTTTCACAGGGACAACCCTAGGATGCTGAAAGTGTAACCGGAAAAGACACCAGCGTTTGGGCTGCCTGTCACTACCAAATCCAATAAGCAATGACAGCGATTGAATCTTTTATAGGCGCTTTATTCAGATGGCCGGCGATCCGAGAAGATGGCGGGTTCATACCCTAACAAACCATATTGCCTTCTCTTTCCTGGCCAGATCTTTTATAAGGGGGGTGGGGGAGGACAAACAAGGTACGGCTAGGGCTTGGAGATTCAGCAGTTGCAACATTAGCTATCTCCAAGGGGGAGGGGTAGTTGCCTGCTTCTTTCTAGTACGGATGTCTCCAGGCAGTAATCTTTAGCCAATGCCCCAGGTCAGCTGCTTTTCCCAGGTGCCAGGATGGGCCTTATCTGTAGTTTCTGAAACGAAAGCTTAACATACACATTACTTGCTAGATTTATGGCTATGTACCTTAAGCTAAAATTTTCCAAGTCTTAAGCCCCCTATCAAAAGCACAGGAATAGCCTCCTCCTCTAATTGGGCCGACATTTTTTCTCCTTCTCAGTGGAAACACGACACACTATCACCTGGCAGAGCTGCTCCCCGCCGGGCTGTGCTGGAACGACAGCATCCCAGCCGAATTCCACCTGTGCCGCAATGTTTGGCCGGTGGCCTAAACCACTTGGCCGCAGAGGATGGAAATTAGACTGTGAGTAACTGGTGTGATTCAGTCACCTCTAAATTGAGTGTAAGCAAAACTCCCATTGGCAGAGAGGTGGTGGTGCGGAGCGGGGCAGGCTGTAATAGTCATAGCACTTGTTTTCAGCCCCGAAGAGGAAACGAGTGCATGAACTTGAACCCAGTGACTCATCAGTAATTGAGAGATCAAGTACCGGGTTCAATCATGCAGTCTGGCCACGTTCAGGACTCACAGGCCCCCGAGCTGGGCTGCAGCACTCAGCACTCCGTGGGGCTCCTTCTCACAGTTAAACCTTCGGATGCCGGGCTGAGCTACCAGCACTCCATGCATCTGGACTGTTTTTAAAGCAGATGGATATCTGTTCATTTATTTTGCACCTCAAAACCACCTTACCCTGTGAGTTGGGCAGGTATGACACTGTTACCCCCATTTGCCAGATAAGGAAACTGAGGATCAGAAGGGTTTAGACAGCTCGCCAACGTCACAGAGCTGGTCAGTGGCTGCCCAGCTCTTAGGCCCACAGCAATCAAGTACAGTGTAAATGCATGGAGTCCCTCATGTGTTCCAGGTTCCTGGCTCCAACCCCGAGCCCTTCCTACCGTATCGGTATGTTATTCTCCGGCCCCACATCAGCGTCACTTCGAGTGTCCCTCGGGCTCCCGGGCACAGCCCTGGCCCTGCATTTCCCCCAGGCTGACGTTCGGGATGGTCAGCGTTGCCTCTGCCAGGTCTGGGAAGAGCTGCTGGCAAGCTCCCGAAGATGCTAGAAACCTGCTCTTTCTGAGGCTCCACCGACACGCACTGTGTCCCGAGGGCTCTGTGCCTTCCGACCTGTGCCCGCTGTGTCACCTGCAGAGCAGGGCCTGTGCGGAAGGGATTCTGTGTCTTTTCATCCAGAATGCAGTCTCCAAGGTAGGAGAGGCCCAATATGTGTTCATGAGAATGTTTAGTATTATTATAAAGATGTTATTGTGAAGGATAACAATAACAACAATCACAGGGCATTAGCAACACACTGTTCCCCAGACGCTTCTGTGTGGTTAGTTCACTCACGCCTCATGAAACGCCACGCAGGATGGAAAATTAACACAGCCAGTGGCCGCCTCCTGAAGCCCCAGCCAGGAGCTACCCCCGAGGACGGACGAAGACAAAGACAGCCCTCGCCGACCCACACAAACCACGAGCCACGTGTGGGCAACAGGAGGACGGACACCACAGGTGCTGAGTGGGCAGGGGAGGAAGTTCTGCATGTGCTCCCCCCGGACCCCCCCACTGCCCTGGGAAGACTGTGACCACCCTGTTATCTCTGACAGTCAAAGTCGGCACCTGCCCACAGCAGGGCTGGGGGATGCCTCGTCGGGGTGGGGTTGGAGGCAGGCCAAAGTCAGAGCTCATAGCCACAGAAATGTGACAACAGGACCAATGAGTAACTAAGCTTTTCCTCTTTAATCACTAACCTCCCCACCCCAAGGGGCTGGTCAGGCGATGACCAGTGAGAGAGAGAGAGAGAGAGAGAGAGAGCTGATGCTAAGATACAAATGCAGCCCCAGCTCTCCTGCCGAGGGGCATCCCTTCACCCCCACCCACTACCTAAACTCCTGGGGACACCAAGGAGCTGGATTTCAACTATTTCCCGCGGGTGCTTATCACCGGCTGAGATACCCACTGTGTCCACGAGAGCATGAGCCCAGGGAAAAATAGCAGGATAGCTACGGAGCAAACCGCACTGAGAGGAAGAATGCAATGTGCACAGCCCAGAACAGAGAAAGGAATGTTGATAGACCCTATCAGGCAAGACACCACCCCAACCAACGATCACACTTAGCATCGCCTGTGGTGGGACAAATCGACTTCATGGAACTCTGGAGATGCTGCAAGGACAAGATCACGCTTAGGTACCGTGTGCCAATATCATTCTCCTACACCAGTGTATTAGCTACGGCTCTTCAGGAAGCAGCACCAGTAGGATGTGCACACATGTGTGTGTGTGTGTGTGTATATCAGAGGACCCCTCTCCCTCCCTCCCTCCCTCCCTCCCGTTCTCTCTCAATGGACAGATATCTATAGAGGGATATGCGTATACATCTAGGAGTAGACAGAGAAAGAAACAGAGAAACAGACAAAAAATGATATATTAAAGAAATGGCACGATAAACAGGAGTAAGGAGAAGTGTACTGATTGGAGATTTTTTAATGAATGATATTCAGAAAGCTGGCTTACTGTATGCATGAAAAATAAGTTTGGGGGCATATTGTATACCCTATATGAGGGACCTCCCAAGATATAAAAGACCCGCATAAAAAAGTAAAGCTATAAAACAGAGGAAAGGAACCGTGATACCTATTTTAATCATTAGGCAGGGAAGTACTTCTTAAATAAGAATCCCAAAGCACAAACCATAAGGCAAAACTTGGATTGACAACATCAAAATTAAAGACCTCTGCTCAATGAGCGACTCTATAGATTACTCTAACATATGGGTGGCAGATTAGGAGAACATATTTGCAACTTTAAAAACCAACGAGGGATTACTCCAGAAAATACAAGGGACTTCTATGAATCAACGAGAAACAAAAATGAACACAACGAGAAACCAGACAAAGCTCATGACTATCCGATTTAAAGGAAGGAGAGCACGGAAGGACCACAGGTGCATGAAGAGATTCTCAGCCTTGTTAGTGGAAGTGTAACAGGAGAAACGAAAATCTCAACGATGCAGCCACGTCACTTCACACCTGTCCGAATGCCAATCAGATGACACCTAGAGGGGGCAGGCGCTTGGGAAATGGGATGTCTCCTGAACTGCGGGCGGGAGCATGGGCGATCCACCACCTTCCCGAGAGCGGCGCGGAGAAGCGGGGTGACCGCAGGAACGCACGAGCCCTCTAGAGCTGGCAGTGGCCTGGCCTGTGGTGAGCAGTGGGAACCCTGGTGCCATGGAGGGAAAACAGACAGAACAGCAGCCGCATCACGCAGTCCCGCCGTGGAGTAACATGCCCGTTGCTGTAACAAGGTGGCCCATTAGTGCTGATGATACCCACCCCCTCCCTCACCGCCACCCCAAACAGCAAAGGGCACCCCCGCCCAAGGCTCTGGGCTTCTCGGCTGTGGCATGGCTTTCACTCTGCGAGGCCAGCGGAGACCTGTAAACTTAGGGGGGGCCCCCTTGAGCTAAAAAAGAGACCCTGGAGGGCTGTGACCATTCAAACACCATGGATCCTTGATCTGAAGTATACCATTGTCACACAAACAAATCTAAGCTTAGCCATGTCTGGGTCGTCATTCTCACCAGTCCATGACTCTGGACCAGCCTTTGTAACTCTGTCTAGCTGACCCCGACCCTGAAGTCTGACTACTAGGTATACATCCCAGAAAAGCTTACATACAGGACATGAACGACATAAACAAGAATACTCATAGTTTCGTTGTGGGGAATGGGGTAGCACTGAAGCCCAACCGAGTGTCTTATCAACAGTGGAATGGGTAAGTAAAATAATTGATTGATTGAGTCTCATGTAATGAGTAGGAACTATACAGGTAAAGAAGTAAGGGGAAGTTTGGCCCCAAAGAAGCAGCAGCATCTGCACAGGTGTGATGTGTTGGAAAAAAAAATGAAGAAGACCTTTCAGGCACTTGAAACAATTACATGCTGAGAGCTGGGTGGTGTGGCCAGATCACCGCTTGCAGAGAGGCTAGACCGGAGTGAGGGGAACGAGAGGCGGGAAGACCAGCCAGGCGGCTGGCAGAGCTCAGGAGGATGCGCAGGCTTGAACAGGACTGGTGGTGGCGACCGAGAGGAAAGGGTGCATTTGAGAGGGGTGTAGGAAGAAGACTATGATGCAACTGAGGAAGGAGGGACACACCTGAAGTAATCCCATTGCTTCTGACTTAAAATATGAAGGGATGGTTGTCTCATTCATTGAGATCAGAAATACAAGGGAGTGTTAATTCTGGGGTTAGCAAGTGCAAGGCTATGAATAAAGATAATTAAGTCATTGGTTCTGTTCGGAATTTTCAAGTTCAGTGCACAGCAGAGCCACACAGACCAGTGGTATCACAGTGACAAGTACAAGGTGGTCACGGCCTCGGGGAGGGGAGGTTCGCTGCCCTGGGGGCACAGCCGTAGTAGTTCAGAGCGCAGGCTGGAGCTGGCCACCAGGGTTTGAATCTAGTTCTTCCTCTGACAGATGGTGTTCCTTGACCTTTCCACGTCTCGGGTTCTTCGTCTGCAAAATGGGAATCACGGCCATGCCTGTACCGCAGGGTTGACGGGGGATTTCATTAGGACAGAGCTGGGAATGCACATGGTGCTTCAGTAAACTGGTGCTAAGGCATCGAGGAGAGGTCTACACAGGAGACAGTCTGCAAGCCCTGCTCTGACAAAGGGCTTAGGTGTTCTTTTAAGCGGACCAACCACATACGTGTCAGACAGAAGGGAAGGTGCATAGGCAAAGTCATGGAGGCAGGTCAGAGCAGAGGATCTGGGGGGTTGACTAGCTCTGCGTGCCTGGAGGGTGCTGCCTATGTCCGATACGAGAGGCAGATGGTGCTGGAAAGGGCTGGGGCCCTGTGGAGCCCTGGGTTATTAAAGCATGCTCCGGGCCACGCTTTGTCATCCTCCTTTCCACCACTTACTGTCTCCTCTCCCTGGCACTCCCTCCCCTTTTTCTACTTTCTGCCCTGGTCTTGCAGATGACTACTCATGGGTCTATGCATTTGGCTAAGACTTTGACCCTCCCTATTCATGCCTGCCTCCTGTAACTGATCCCCAAACTGAAGCAAGTCATTCCATGTTGCTTAAACATGTCTCTAGTCCTTCCTGGATCTTACAGAAACAGATCTCACCTCCATCACCATATTGGACCCCACATCGCTCAGGACCTTACTCTTGAAAACTCGTCGCTCCTAAGACTTGACATTCTGCTTTATACTTCCAGATATGGCCCCTTCCTCTTGATCATAGGTGTATCTTTATGCCACTCACCCAGTCGGCCTCTGGTTATTAAGGCTTTTGGACTGACCTGTTCCAGAGTGTCCATCTGGGCTCTGGTGTGACATGGAGCAGCCCCGTACCCTGCTCTTGGTCTTTGGGGACAGTGAGGTTTATGCCTGCACCCCAGGGCCTCATCCTCTCTGACAGGTCACTGGAAACGTGAGATGCTGAGCGTGGGGCCGCACCGAAAATAAGATGGAAGCATCACTCCTTTCATGAACTGCAGTCCATAGCCTTCCTGGGAACAATAAAAAAATCAGTACGGTGAAAGGAATAAGTTGGGGACAGACAGACCATTTAAAAGGGATGTGAAACTTTAGGATGCTAAGCAGAGAAGGAGAGTCCAAGTGGCAGCAGGAATCAGAACCTGGGGAGACCAGGTGAGTGCGAGAGAGGTCAAGGGCAAGGTGGAAGGAAACAAGCCTGTTTTTATTAAGTGGAGACTGGCCACGGCATTGGAGGAAAGCCAGGGAAGACGGCACTGGGCCATCTAAAGTCACTGGGGCATTATGGGAAATGGTCAGGAGTTCCCCGAGCCCATCCCAACAATTTACTGACTGTGGACAACTCCCTTTTAAGAAAATGTGCTGAAGGCAATATAACATGGCATTAAGAGTGTTCAGACTTGGAGACAGAAGCACGCATTGCAGTTACAGGCATGTGACCTCGCACAATGTAAGCTGCCTTTCTGAGTCTTAGCCTCTTATGTGTTAAGTGTAGGAGGGGGAAAAGCCAACTTTCCTGCCCTTCGACCCAACGGGTCTTTAGAAACAAAGTAAAGTAATGGGTGTGAAAGCACCTCACAAGGTCAGTGCTAAGGGAGCACATTAGATCATTAATGTGACTCCAGTGGGGGAAGAAATGCTAACAGTCAAGTGGACCTGCTGTTTCAAGGGGTTGCTGTTCCGTGGGAACAGGGAAACACCGAAGGCGGGGGGCTGACCTGGGGGTAGGATTACCAACTCATTCCACCTTCCTTTCAGGGTTCTGATGGCAATGAACTTGCCAAGTTTCAACCACAAGACCATATGTTTCCTAGATCATGTGGGGAAATGTGGTTTATTCTGATTACTTGTTTGTACTAACATTCTTAGTGCAGGGCTTCGTTTATTACGCTGGCCCCAATTCAATCTGTCAGGAGGCCTCACAGCACAGGAATGTGTAAACATACTCTTAACTGCAAGTGATTTTTTAAAAAATCAGGAGAACCCCAAGCTCACTCCTTCCTCGCAGACCATGTTGGAAGTGACCTTGGACCCCACTCAGAGTGGCGTTCATGCTGATCGCAGTCCTGACCCTTTGTAAAGTGTCGAAGGTCCTTCTGAAGTGTCGACAGGACATTCACGTGCATCAACGACAGCTTTCGTGTTGAACATACCCTGATTATTCTAATTAGGTGGCGTTGGTATTCAGTGTCCCGATTCAAACCTGGTCATTTCACCAGTCAGACCCCCGTTTCCTGAGCACGTGACTAAGCTAACTAAACTAACACTGAGCTGCTCCCCCAGCGCTTCTCCCTCGCAACCACAAAGAATGTGCTGAGTTCAGTCATCCCCGTGCAGACTCGTTCCCGTACCCAGATTCCTGACGATCGCTTTCTGAGTGGCGCGTGGGCCCACCAGGTGAGGCTTCCTGCCTCTCCAGCCTCCGCTCTCCCTTTGCTCCCACCGTGCCCCCTGTTTCAGCCACGCAGGTGACGCTGGTGCTCCCAGAATGCGTCGTCCTGTCCCTCAGCCTGTGCCCTCGTGCACGCTGCTCTCTGCTTCCCCCACCTCCCCGTGGCCTCGAGCCTAGCTCACCTCTCACTCCTCAGGTGAGGCCCCCCCCGCCCCGCCCCCGGCACACAAGCCTCAGCACTCAGAGCAGGTGTGGTCTCCCTGGAGAAGCCTTCCCAGACCCCCACCAGGTAATAGTGCCCTGTCCCTGCGTGTCCTCCATCCTCCACTGTGCGTGTTACTGCTTGCGGCTCCCCAAGGCTGCAGGCTCCCCGTGGAGTGGAGAGCCATCCGACCCTCTTCACACGCCTTTATCCCAGCCCGGACTCGGGCGCAAGGTGGACGCCCACAAATCTGCTGGGGCTCCTGAATCCAGGAAGTCTCAGGGCCCTGTTTTGAATATTTCCTAACACAAAAAAAGATCAGGAGAACAGGTTTTCCTTAGGACAAGGGGGTGTGGATTATGAAAATGTTATGCGAGATTAATCAAATGCCACACTGCGACCTGCAGGAACCGCCCAGGTGCACAGCCAGCCCGACTCAGAAGCAGAGCTTCGGCTGCAGGTGGATGGATGGAGGCCGCCGACGGTCAGCTTTCTTAGAGCACGGACTTAGCTGGCTCCCGAGCTGCGCGCCACTGAGGGAGGTACGATGGTTTACTGAGACCTTTTCTTTGTGCCAGGGCAGCCCCAGGGTTCCCCCCGGCACCCCATACCTGAAGGTCTGCTTCCTGCCTCCCTCGTCCCATGTGGGAGAACCTTGCGACTGAAACTAAGCTAACAGGTTCGGGTTGAGTGCAGGTAATACTGGTGAGGTGATACTGGCGAGACTTCGGTGGTTGCCACAGAAAGGTGTTACATGCTCTTGATGCTGAAGGGGTTGAAAAGTTCACCGAGGACCAGACCAAAGGAGAATTAAATCTGAGTCTCTCTGTGGATGGGACAGATAAAAAAATAATTAAAGTCGTAGCTTAGAATAGACAGATTAGTGTTGTGGTCATGAGAGCTAGCTGCTTCAAGAGGGAGGGGGTGGGGGGACAGAGAAAGAGAGAGACGCCAGGAGGTAGGAGCTGCTTAGAAGTGTCGTGCTGCATTTCTGGCTTCCAGATGGTGATGTTTTTTTGTGTGAGGATGTCATTCAGAACAATGTTCAGAATGCCATAATTACAGTGGTATTTTGGTACTTCATCTTGAACAGATATAAGTTGTCACAATGAAATGTGCCAAATACTAATAAAATTGAATGTTCCAATCAGACAATGGAGCATAGTTACACAATTTCTTATATATTTATGTATACACACACACACATATATATACATATATATGTCTTTGTGTCTAACTGTCTGTCTGCCTGCCCCCCTGTAGAATAAAAGCAGTTGTAGTTTCAGTGGATACTCTGCCTAAGTCAGCCCAGGCCCCCCTCCCCCGGTTCTGCTGTGAGGCAGGCCCCTTTAATCGCCTCCCCTGGGGAGCTGGCAGGAGAGAGAGAGAGGCGCTCTGTGATTCCCTGACCCTGTTTGGTGACGTGCAGCTGAGTAGCGACGTGACTGGACGGCTTCCCCAGCTCCTCCAAGACAAAGGTCAAGAAGTGAGGGAGTTCGAGAGAGAGAAAAGATTGGTTTTTGTTTGTTTGTTTGTTTGTTTGTTTTTTCAGAAAATTAGAGTAGGGCTGCCGTTTCATTCCCTTTTGGTGCTTCTCCACTAATTAACACGCGGAGTGGTAAATGCAGTGCAGGGAACACTCTACTTTCTGCAGCAACTGTCCAGAGGGAACTAGAGAGAGACATTATGGTGGTCAGACTTAGCATAATCATTTTTAAAAAAGCAACTTCAGTTTTCTTATTGACTTTGATCTATTCCATCAAGCGGGTAAGCTAAGTCCTAAGACTGCACATTCCCCCCCAGGAGGACCAGTAAGGTGAAGTAGCAGAGAAAGGTCTTTTGTCGTTGTCATTGCTGGTAATAATGCAGCCCAAGAACTTGACGATACATCTTCGATTGCTCTACCTCTAAAAACTTTCTTCATCCACCCTCTGTTATCTTCCTTATTTCACACAGTGTCAAAGCTTTTTGTTTATGATTCTGCCTCTATCCAGAAAAGAGAGCTCTTTAGTTCAGGGAAAATATCTTATTTTTTGTGTCTGTAGCACCTAGAAGGCGAGCCCAGAGATGCTGCTCAGGAAATCCTTGTTGAGGTGCAATTCGAATGAATGCACTGGAGTCCAGGTTCAAAACCTAGCCTAGATTCTCTTCGTGAGCGCTAGACCTATGTATCCAGACCGCCAACCTCATTATTATTATTGCCGTCGTTGCACAGGCCGTCACCACAGGACACCTCATGGTGACCTTGCTGAGTGTGCTGGCCATTTCTCAGGCGTTGCTGCAGTGACCCCCACGATAACTCTCCGAGGAGAGCATCTGTAAAACAAGTGCCTGCATTGTACTGCTGAGAGCACGAGTCTCAGGAATCGAGACTTGCCCAGCGTCTCACAGGGGGTTGAGTGTTAGAGCCAGAGCAGGAACTAAGAGACTGTGGCACTAAACCCTAAGCGGTTCAGGACTTGGACACGTGGGATGGAAACATTCTTTGTGCATAGGCGCGGGTGGCTATGTGGTTGGTGTATTACAGTGTGTTTACCAGTGTTCTTGGCCTCGATCCAATAGATACTAGTAGCATTCTCCACCCTACCGTGACAACCAAAAATGTCTCCCAGCAAGACCAGAAGTCAGTCCCCTTGGGGGCAAAATCAGCTGCAGTTAAGAATCAGTGATCTAGCCCTGGCTGGCGTAGCTCAGTGGACAGAGCGCGGGCTGCAAACCAAAGTGTCACAGGTTCGATTCCCAGTCAGGGTACGTGCCTGGGTTGTAGGCCATGACCCCCAGCAACTGCACATTGATATTTCCCTCTCTCTCTCTATCTCCCTCCCTTCCCTCTCTAAAAATAAATAAATGAAATCTTTAAAAAAAGAGTTTAAAAGAATCAGTGATCTAACAGCAGGCACAGTGTGGTAAGTACTGTGGCATAAGCATAAGCAAAAGAAGGGTAAAATAGGGGGGTCCCCTTCATGGTGAAGGTAGAATTTGATTTGGATCTTTATTGTAGAAAGATTGAATTGACTGAGCAAGGTTTATTGTGATGAGTGAATACCAAATACGCGTTGAGCATGTGTGATGTGTCAAATTTAACTCTAAGGAAAAACATATAATAAGCATTGTTAAATGTTTTCCTAAAATGAAACACCATCTTAACCACCATCGGGTGGAACATAGAGCTATTTGGGGTCACTTAATCTCAGGATGTTCACTCTGCATCACATTACCTACTGAAGATCACTCGGGAAAGGATCATGTCCCGTTTATTTTTGTAGCTTCCTAACCTGTGTCTGTCAGCCCCAGTCATCATCTAATTGTGCTGTACACAGAGTCGGTGTTTTCTGGCCAGTTTCTGGCTCGTTGGGAATGTTCAAAAAACTATAGAGCTTGATCGTCTTTGTGAGAAGGTGGAAGGAAGGAATGCCCTTTGGCTCTTGTCTCTGTGTCGTCAGGGCTGTGGGCCCTTCATAGAAGCTCCTCAACAGGCCACAGCCAGTCCTCTGACTTAACCTGATGAAGCCAGAACAACTGGGCTAAATCTACTTCGATTCGAATCATTGAAAAACCAGGAAAGATTCTGACAGCTCTGAAAAATATGCTCTCCCTCCCCGAACTAACCATTTGGAATGTGTAAGAGCTGTTGGTATACTCTTTTCTGAGAACATTTATTATTGTTAGGAATGTGGATTTCAGAATGGGATAGGCCTAGTGTTACCTGGGCCCTGGCTCTGTTTATGGTGACTTATGTAATACCTGTGAACCTCAGTCTCCTTGTTTATAAAATGGGGATGAAAATAATTCCCACTGGCACCCTTCAGAAGGCTACTTCACACAAAGGGGATTATAAGTGAACTCAGTTATTTGGGAAGATACTTAAACTGTGCCTCTTCTTTTAGCCTGTTTTCCCAGGATGACCCTTTAGTAGTAGAAGCATTATGCAGGGATTTCTTAGACCTTAGTTCTAGCCTAATGTACCAAAAATTTATTTTGTGATACTGTCACAATCATTTAGCTTTTCTGGGTCTCACCTACCTTATGTCTGCCATCGTGTTATAGGTAGTGTTGTGTACATCCACAAGGACCAAGGTAACGGGCATGATTTACATATTGAAAACATGGAAAGTGAATGGTGTCTCTTTTCCAGTCTCACTTCGGTCCTGCCCTCACCTCCCTACTGACTGGGGCATCTCTCCCTTTCAGTCCCTTCCTTCTCCCTGACTCTTTGACTAACTGGTGTTCTCATTTAGGATCAACCTTAGACTGTATATGTTCCAGGATGCTTTTTTCTTTTTTTAAATATGTTTTATTCATTTTGCTATTACAGTTATCCCAATTTTCCCCCTTTGCCCCCCCTCTGCCTGGTACCCCATTCCCTCCAACAGTCCCCTCTCTTAGTTCATGTCCATGGGTCGTACATGTAAGTTCTTTGGCTTCACTATTTCCTGTATTGTTCTTAACCTCCCCCTGTCTGTTTTGTACCTACCAATTATGCTTCTTAATCCCTGTACCTTTTTCCCGTTTTCCCCATTCCCCCTCCCAGCTGTTAACCCTCCATGTGGTCTCCATTTCTGTGATTCTGTTCCTGTTCTAGTTGTTTGCTTAGTTTGTTTTTCAGGTTCAGTTGTTGATAGTTGTACATTTGTGGCCATTTTAGTGTTCATGGTTTTGATCATCTTCTTTTTCTTAAATAAGTCCCTTTAACATTTCGTATAATAATGGCTTGGTGATGATGAACTCCTTTAGTTTTACCTTGTCTGCCCTTCTATGCTAAATGATAGCTTTGCTGGATAGAGTCATCTAAGTTGTAGGCCCTTGGTTTTCATCACTTTGAATACTTCTTGCCCATCCCTTCTAGTCTGCAAAATGTATTTTGAGAAATCTTCTGACAGTCTTATGGGAACTCCTTCATAGGTAACTATCAGCTTTTCTCTTGCTGCTTTAAAGATTCTCTCTTTATCTTTAACCTTTGGCATTTTAATTATGTGTGTTGCTGTGGTCTTCTTTGGGTGCAACTTGTTTGGGATTCTCTATGCTTCCTGGACTTGTATGTCTGTTTCCTTTGCCAAATTAGAAAAATTTTTCTTTATTTTTTCAAATAAGTTTTCAATTTGTTGCTCTTCCTCTTCTGGCACCCGTATGATTCTGATGTTGGTACATTTGGAGATGATCCAGAGGTTCTTTATTCTCCTCACTTTTTTTGAGTTCTTTTTTCTTCTTGCTGTTCTGATTAAATGCTTTTTTATTCCTTTTTTCCAAACCATTGATTTGAATCTCAGCTTCATCCTCTCCCTTCATACTCAGCATCATACTGCTGGTTCCCTGTGGGTTTTTGCTCATTTCACTGAATGCAGCCTTCATTGCTGCCTGGGTCTTTTTTATGCTGTTGCAGTACCCAGTGAGTACCTGGAGCTTCCTGATCACCAGTGGTTTCAACTGTGCATCTGATAGGTTGCTTATGTCCATTTCATTTAGTTCTTTCCAGGAGTTTTGCTCTGTTCTTTCATTTGGGCCATGTTTCTTTCTCTTCTCAATTTGGCAGCCTCCCTGTGTT